TCCCGAGCAATCTGGTATTTAGCGATGAGGTACAGTTTCACGTTCAGCATCACTTTCACGATTATTATTGCCTGGAGTAGCAAGGTACCGTAAGCGCTCACTTTTGCAGCTAAATCAATTGTAACGACGTTCTGAATCGCTACTATTAAGTAAGTGTAAAACCAACAGAAAAGGCAAACTTCTATAATTACAGTCCTGGATGCATAACGATTGTAAACATAAGGATAAACAACAGCAATGAATCGATCGAACTGTGCAAATAAGATGGTCAAAATATTGACTCCCAGTAGCGAAGGCACTATGTAATAGGTACCGTTCCTGGACGGATAGCCCTCGTAGACGTCAAACAGTCCGATGTAGTAACCACCTACCCCAGACAGAGTGTCGCTTATGCTGGTGTTCAGCATGAAAATAAAGCGATTTTGTGCTCGCAGTTCATTTTTACAAATAATGCCTACCATTACCGAGCCAGCCATGAGAAAAGAACTGGTAGCAATTAGTAGATTTGCTATAAAAATGAAATAATCTTCAGCTTCGTTAAAGTCCACCGCTAACGGCACAGTGAGGTTCAGAGAAATCATCGTGGGGTGAAATGTGTATCTGGCGATGCCGCCTTTGAGTTTTAATAGGTAATCTGAAAACAGAAAAATAATCTCTTTGGGTCTTCGGACCTCCTGGGAATAATTATGTTGTGAATGTGAAATCTTACGCGAAGGATGACAGTTGGATAAACAACAGAATATAATTTACTTAATTTGTCCCATCAGCTTTTGTAAATGCTGTAATTGGCGATTGATGAATTTAGAAACGTGTAGTCAGTGCCCGTACAGAGAAGAAATACTTTGAACGTATTTATTAACGCACAGCTGATAACTGAGCAGATCCTTCTGTAATGAACCGCGTTTTATCGTTTCTCATGTTTGTAAAAAAGATTAATGGTTTTCAAATGAGTTCGAAGTCTTTCATTACAGGGACTGTTTCTATTACTTTTGTGTAAAAATAGAAAACAATTTATTTTGATAAATCCTGAGAAACCGCCATTTCTGAACACGTGGTGGCTCCATAATCCTAAATTATCATTTAGTTGGATTTTTCCCGATGTATCAGACTAACGCCGTTACTCAATAGAACGGGGTTATACCCTGCAACTGACACAAAGTGATATTGATTAGGATGACTGATTAGTAGTCCATATACCTGTAGTGTATCAACAGCTGACCTGGCTAATTTCAAGTTCAAGTTTATTGTCATTATACTCCTACACAGGTGTATATATATATAACGGGATGCTATTTAGCTAGCTCTCAGACCATATGTAGTACAAAACAACAATACAATTGTGTAAGAAAAGAAAGACAGAGACAACAGGCAACGTGCAAAACAAAAACAGATAATGTACAAAACAACAGGTAACAGGTAATGTGCAAAACAGAAACAGTTGTGCATAAACATACGTCAACAGGATACAAAATTGTGGAGAGTGAACTTCTTGACATGTGAGCCAATGCGCTCACTTTAAATCTGACTAGTGAAGCGGCCGTTATCAGTGTGAGGTTGGCCGATTGGAGTGGGCCAGATAGTGTAGCTGGCAACTCAATGGGTTAATAGGTACCATCCAGCAGGTGCCACCCAGCCCATGCATTGTCTTGGCCTGTGCAGAAAGTATCACCCTCCTGCATTCTATGGTCTCATAGATCATGGACAGATCGGGAGTAAATCAAGAGACCCAAGCCCTTATTCCTCAGATTTTAATGTCTGTTGTAACCATGTTCATCTAGTGAGACCTGAGTTGATCTAATTAAAAAGTTTCTAAAACTGGCAGGCTCCTTGTCAAGACATATTGAACTATAGAACCTAGATGGAGAAGTTACTGTACACGAGCACAGAGGTCATTGGAAAAATGAAAGAAAATATATATCATTCTTGCTTAAGAAGAAAAAAGACATCTACATTTTTTTAAATCTCTAAATTAAGAAAAATAAAAGACGTTAGTGTTTTTTTACTGAGTCCACATGCTGAAAGTTTGTATTTTTGCTTTGATAAGCCAAGATCAAAATGAATTTCACAACTGGAAATATAGTGACACATTTAAAAAATCAAGAATACATAAATTCTGTTATTTAACAGACTGTAAAATATTTTGCATTCTTGCCCTTATTTGCTTCAGAGTATGTGGTGTGATCATTTCTCATGTGATGGGTTCTTAAATCGCAAGAGGTGTGGTATTTTCAAATAATCAAATCCTAGAGCATGTAAAAGAGTATCAGGAGAAAGAAAATGTCATTAATTTGTCTTATTACTGACCCATCCTGACAGTTATTATCTCACTCTGCTTTATCTGGAAGGAAATGAAGGAATTTGACATCAAATACGTAAGAGACTGGGAGTCTGGACAGTGAGACCAGAAAAGACAGTAAAAGCTCAGAAAAAAGTTTCTAAAATAAACCACCATTTAAAGAGAAGATGAATTTTGTGTTTAAAGCTTTTGTAATGGCCACTGTTATATTATATAAAAGTTTTTTTTTATGTGGATCTGATCACCAGTAGACATTGTATGGACAGAATTGAACTAAAACGTTCTTCCCTGCTACAATATATTGTACCTAGAACACAAATGTTTTTAATTTTGTAGCCCAAACGTTTACTCCAATGAAGTATTGAAGTAAGGCAGAGACACAGATGACGAAAAAATGAAAAGTAGCCTCTTTCAATTCTGACGGGTGAATATTTTCTCTTGGATGATGTTAAAATACGGCGCCTTCTTCCAGGGTTCTGCATTTTCTTGTGGAGTCTGGGTCGACCCTGGAAAAAAAAGAGTTATTACTTTTTTGATCTGTCATAAAGGATTTCAGTCTTCAGATTGTATTCTGATTATCGATTATCGACTAGCAGAGCCTTTGCCTTCCAAATAAACATTTCAATAACAGTTTGATGGCTGAATTGTTTTGTTTGCTGTTTTGTGAGCACTGCTTCATGATATGAAACTGAGACATTTTCACAAACGATTACACAGATTTATGGTAGCTATTTTTCAAGTGGTTGTGAAATGAACATTAGTCATTTATTGAGTTTCCGGATTCCTCCGCAAGTCGTTATTTTAAATTTACCTCTTGTTTTAAAATTTAGTGAATCACCCGATGATTCAAGACCTGACCCTGTCTTGAAATATTAACGTACAGTATGACCTACCTCGACTCTCTCTTCTCAGATAAGCAGCACTGATCACTAAATCAGCAAGCGTTTCTCGCTTGACTCAGAGAGTCGGTTCAATTATGATAACAGGGCAGTCACTGAAGAATAGATCAAGTTCAATAATCAGCCAATGTAAAGAAATACAATTAAAACGGAGGTAACGTGGATTTTACATTGTACATTTAGTAAAATATGTTGATATTTCCTGGGTGTTCTGGTGTAGTTTAGAAAAAATGTTGGGGATTTTAGTTTTAAGTGTGACTTTTAAATTCAGTTCTATGTGAAGGAGGTGTCCTGAAACTCGGTATTTGTATAATAACAGTAGGCTTAATTATGTGGCAATTCTAAACAGTTTTACATTTTCCTTTAGGAGAACCAAAACTCACACAAATATTAGAACATTTTAGCTCAAATTAAGCACTAATTAAGCTTTTTTATATAATTGATAGTATTTTTCCCCCTTGCTGTAATTCTTACCTTTTTCTCAGTGGAGGACAGACTCTCCCCCACACCGTCTTCAGCACAGCCTCCCTGAGAGCGGGGCTCCCCCAGATGTACAGTCCGGGGGTACAGGTTGAAGTGAATCTTATCATCATGCTCAGAGGGTCGCTGGCGTTGTTCGTGAATATGTATCGTGACCTGGTCAGCTGGACCACGATAAGATAGTAAAAGCGAGGAGTCCAGAGCGCCAGGAAGCAGACTACCACCACGATGATGAGTCTCAGGGACTCTTTCTTGCTGTCTCTCTCTGGACCCGGCGGCTCGCGAGCAATCTGGTATTTAGCGATGAGGTACAGTTTCACGTTCAGCATCACTTTAGCGATTATTATTGCCTGGAGCGCCAAAGTGCCATAAACGCTCATTTTTGCAGCCATTTCCACTGTAATGAGGTTTTGAACCATTAAGAAAAAGTAGGTGTAAAACCAACAGAAAACGCAAAGTTGTATCACTACAGTCCTGGTTACATAACGGTTGTAGACATAAGGATAAACTACAGCAAGGAATCGGTCCACTTGTGCAACCATGATCGTCTGAATATTGACTCCCAGTAGCGATGGCACTATGTAATAGGTGCCGTTCCTGGACGGATAGCCCTCCTGTACATCAAACAGTCCGATGTAGTAACCACCTAACCCAGATAACGTATCACTTATGCTGGTGTTCAGCATGAAAATAAACCTGTTTTGAGCTCGAAGTGACTTTTTACAAAGAATACCCAACACAACCGAGACAGCAATGAGAACAGAACTGGTTGCAATTAGTAGATTGGTTATAAAAATGAAATAATCTGCAGCATCATTAAAGTCCACCGCTAACGGCACAGTGAGGTTCAGAGATATCATCGCTTGGTAAAATGAGTATCAGGCTAAGATGCCTTTGAGGTTTAATAGGCGGATACTTCGCAGGAGATGATCCTTTTTCACATGTAATTGCACTTTGGATTTGGACCTTCTGGGAGCAATTAACTGTCGAATGGGAAATCTTAAGGCATTTTGCTTTTTGGAAAATATGACATTTAGATACTGAAGAGAAAATCATTTACGTACTCTTTTCTAACAGTTATTGTAAATATTGAAATGGCGAAATTTGTCTGAAATTATCCCCTTCTGTACAGGAAAGAAACTTTTAAAAATGTTATATTTGTATTCACGAAGCAGATGACCGAGTTTGAGCTGCACATTTTCTCTGCAGATATAACTTTTTTCCAAGTATGTTGACTTGACAGTGTTTTGTTAAAAGGACTATTTTTAGCGTGTTCCTCAAAGAAAATCCTGTCTGAACACAAGATGGCACTGTAATCTACAATTATGTTTCATGTATGTGGTTTTCCTCCAGTGTCAGACGCCTGTACCTGAGCAAGACAAACGTATTATATGTAAAGTACATATTATATCCTGACCAGTATAGATTTCTATCGTTGTGTGAAATATCAGTCAGTTGTGAAAGCTTTAAAACGTTTCTGATCAGAAAGCTGAAGCAAAGTCATCTCCCAAGAGACTGACTGGGAAGTCTGATTGTTAGTTTACGTGCCACAGGTGTATTATATCCAAAACAGTCTCAGGGTGTTTTGCAGGCAGTATCTGATAAAAAGGAAATCATGTGGGGTGTTTTCTGATGTCACACTTGATACCAAGTGCAGGATTTCAGATCTCCTGTATTGGGGGTCAAAAATATAACAGGATTAGGCCTTTTCTTTATCTATGCATACTTTTAATTGTCCATGCGATTCCCTCTCTTGGTGAAACTTGAGTGGCAAATCATGAATGTTACAATTAATTAGAACGCTACTGTATTCTGATAGAAGTGTGTATTATCTGATGCCTTGCAATGCTCACTCTTGAAGGAGATATACATATAAGATATTGATTAACTAAGTGATAATATTGAC